TTCCGATCACATGCGTCTGTTTACCTGAAACATAATTAGGATTTTTACAATAATGAACTAACCACAGACAGTACTGGGCACATTCACTTTCCTGATTCTTAGGACTGACTACCAGAAAAAACATTGCTCCAATTAACCACAGCATGTTCCTGAGGTGTGAGAAATGCATCAAGAGAATTTTAAAGGTGAGAGCTGGTCACAGCCTGAAAAAATGTCAAGCATAGGTTAAAGGGACACTGCTGGGGTTAGCGGTGCTGCTTTAACTGCTGCTGAGCAAAAACGTCGCTAGCTCCTACTGCTCACTGCCATCCCTGCTTGTGTCTAGTCCAGTCCTGCTGCCATAGGCCACATATGGAGCTGCTTTGAACCATGACTTACGAAGTGTTGGTTGGTTGTTCAGACAGAGGAAGGAGCTGCTGTAGTTATGCCAGCATATCTGAGAAGTGCCCAGGTGAGCAGGATGTAACAAGCAGCTGCCCCTTCACCTAACAGCTGCCAGAGAACAAGTTTGATCACAGCTTAAGATCACACTCAAACTGGGCAAGGAGGAAAGGAGGTTTCAAGAGAACTTCCAGACCTTCGCTCCAGGTTTCAATATCCAGAGAGAAAGCAAAGCCATAACCCCAACTGTATGCTTCTCCCCTTAAGAGCTCAATTAAGCAAAATCCTATAGCAAACACTTTCGGGTTGCCCAGCTGAGTCCCCCAACGCAGGTAGTTTTGAAATGGTGACTATGAGTGAACTGCCTGCAAAATGGGCAAGGGAAAAGGATAAATTTCTGGAAGGTGTTTAAGATGCAGTCAAATACAGATAAAGCAGCTTTCCTCCAGCAGTAATTCCTCAACCCAAGCAGAGGACAACAGCACATACAGAGGTAAGAAACAGCCCTGGAGAGAGCTTGTAGGACTCACCTTGCAGGATGTTGGCAGGACACATGTCGATCTTGGTCACCACAACAAAGACGGGAACATTAAGCGCAAGCGCCAGGCCCAAGTGCTCCTTGGTCATTCCAACAATCCCAGCGTTACTGCCAACCTACACCAGGGATACAAGATATGGTGATGTAAATGTTACTCCTGCAGTGAGCTGGGTTACAGAGAAGGTCTTGTGTTGGACATGCAGTAGGCTGTAGACATGTCATTGGGACTGTATGAGCAGACCCAGCTCATTTCAAATGCTGTTGGACACTGGCTAAGGACTCATTGCTCCTCAATTTTAGCAAGGTCTTCTGGAGTTCAGAAATCTTTCAGTTTTCAAGAACCATACATCTTGGGCCTGCCTGAAACCGACAGTCCTGGGGCACTTGCCTCAGAGCCCTGGCTAGATATCCACAGTGGCTGCTGCTCTCCATCTCTGGGAGATGCCGCCTCTCTCCACAACCCCACAGGGACTTTGCAATAGGAAAGAAGTTGAGGCTGTTAAAGCTGTGAACAGCCCTGCTTCTGCTGGTACCGTACACCTTTCTTGCTACCTACCATAAGCATGCAGAAGTCAGGTAAATGGCCAGTCATGCCAAAGACGGTCGTTTTCAGGTACTTTTCGTGACCAGCCAGGTCAATGAAAGTAATGACCTTGGTGGATTTCTCACAGATCTTTGTCCATTCCAAGCTGCCACCGTGGCTGTCGGGTTTGTTCACCACGTTGCCCTCACTGTCGAAGCCCAGAATGTCATTGCCCACGCTGCTGGTGCGGCCTGACTCAATTTCATGCTTATGGCGGAATAGCTTTTGCCGAGCAAAGCCTCGGCCGTTGTCTAGTTCACCATGTGTCAAGACACCTAGCAATGTGCTCTTTCCTGCATCCACATTGCCAACCACTGCCACCCTGGAGGGGAAAGGAAAAAAGAACATGGTAAAATCTGATACCCGAAGAAATAAACAAGCAATCAAAAAAAACCCAAACACCATTGCTCCTGCAAATAACTAGCTGCTTCTCCCTAACCGTGAAACAGAGGTTCAAAAATGTTAGACCTTCACAAGCAGAGCAGAGATTTTTTCACAGTTATTAGTTAACAGCGGAGATACCAGAGTCTGGGGACTGGGATGTGGAAGACTGTGGAAACGTGTCACCGGTGTCCCGAACACAGCCAGCTGAACCCAATATTGCTTGATGCCATACAGAATATCTCTCTTCCAACCCCTAGTCTCTGCAATCCAACATATACACTGTGCCTTTCCCATATTCCTCATGTTGCAATAGCACCAGGTGCTAAGGAGAGCACAGAAATTTAAACTGCTATTCCCAGAAAAGGAAAAGCTCAAACAACAATGAAACGTTTTAGGGGAAAACCCTCTCCCACAGCAATCTCCTTCCTTGTATCTGATAAAGGTGGCTATTATGGCTGTTGGCAAATGTTGGAAATCCATTCCATCCAGGTCCAGGCAGACTCTCAAGTCACATTACACAAGCTATTATGTGTCCATTAAAAGGTGACTTGGATCATCACAGTCTTGGAACAGAATTAAATCCTTAGTCAAAATACTGTATTCCAGCAGCGTGCGTATATGCACACACATACAGACACATGTGCACATGTGACTCCCTACTGGAATTCCAACCCACAAAAGATCCCCAAACTGTGAAGCTGTCACCCAGACAGCAACAGCCCTCAGCTAAACACAGGCAAATCTCCACAAACAGTTTATTCACAAAAGAGACAGCAACAACAACAAAAAGGTGAATTCGTTAGCAAGGAGTGGTCAAGCTCAATTCCCTTTGTTGGGTAGCTACAACACCCAGACTCAAATCAGCGTTGCTGGCTCAGCATCACGGACTGCTCACAGGGTAAAAATGCAGCTGGGCTGCTGACTAACCCTGTCTCCACCCGGCTCCTCACCTGACCTCCAGGAAGTCGTTGTCACCCACACGTTTCCGAACGAGGTAGTCGCGCACCTTGCCCCCTGCCTCCTGGTGCTCCCGCAGGAGGATCACGTCTGCCTCGATCTGCTCTGCCATGCTCTTCAACGTGGCATAGGATGCTTCCATGTCTGCCTCGCTCAGACCATATTCAGTCCCATCTAGTATGATGTCGAGGAGACAAAGGACAGTCAGTGAGCACCACCTTGCAACAGCCAGCAGCAATGTCATTCTGCCTGGGACTTTCACACCGATCGGGATTTGTATGTGGACCGGAGATGTCAGACATGTGAACAGAATAAGCACCCTTTGCCCAAAATAAAAAAGGACGGTCTTCACTCTAAGTCTTAAAAGATACTAGGAAAGCACCATCTTTCATCTAGAGGAGTTTTCTTCACAATTTCTACAAGCAAATACTTACGGATTGGCGAAAAAGACACATTTCTGTCTAATTCCCTTACTTCACATGCTGAAGGTACTTTGCATGCAATTTCCTTCAGTCAGATAAAACATCTCCTCTTGCAGTGCAATAAAGGGAAAAGTATTAACAAAAGGAAAGCTCTGACTGAAATATCACCACAATTAACCAGTGAACGTGGGACCAATTTAAACAATCAGCTTATTTATAAAACCACATCCCAAGTGCACATTTTCTGCAAGGCGGGCCTGCACAGCAATTTCTTTAGCCCCCACATACTCCAGTTAAAACAATGTTTTTGGCATGTCTCACTGCCTTCGTCCTGGCACTTGAAAGAAATACTGACAGCACGAGGCCAGAAAAAAACAAGGAGGCACTGCTGCCTCTGAACAGCCCACCCGAGCAAAGAGCTGACAGTCAGAGCAAGCCAGTGGCAACTATCTAGACAGTTTAAAGGCCACCGCAGCTCTCAGCTTCTCTCCTAACCCAGGTGCTGAGAAGCTGCACAGATTTCAGGCCAGAATCTCCTCTGTGGGTAAAAAAAAAAAAAAAAAAACAGCAAAGGTGGAGAGCCACATAGCACCTGGATGACCAAAGCTATTGCTGTGTGTGCATTCATATGCATGGCTGACTCATCAGCTGGTAAGCAGTAACTGCAGTTTGGATGAACTAATCAGCATTTTAACTACTGCACAGCTCTACAACAAGTAGAGTTGCTGGGTGATTTCCAACCTAGCTCATAAGCTGGCTGAGAAGCTCTTGAGATGGTGGGGAAAACAAAAAGCACCACGGCTGGGGTCTTGGGTCATAGAAGGGGAATGACAAGTAGAGGACGAGAGGATAAGAGCCAAGGGAGAAAGGGAAGGGTCACTACTGATGAAGCAGTGAGCCACCTGGCAGTCTTCGCTTGCTCTCAGTCATCTGAGATGGGTATCCATGACGATCGAAATCATAGACACTCAAAGTGAATGAGAAGGAGGGACAGTGGCAGGGATATCAAGATTTATTTTCAGTTGGCTACTGTTTCCAATTTACAGAAAAGATCCCCATCTTCCTCAACTATGCAGTAATCTGAAATTAAGTCAGAAGTTTCAGCTCATATTTTTAAGAAACAAATGCCTACTTCTAAATACATCGTTGCAACAACCACCAGTTAACACCCTCACAAGGTATTCTAGAAGAGAAAGCAGTTACTAGCCCAACTAGCTAGATCTCCCCTGCAGATGTGGTTATCCCAAACACCAAAGATTCAGACTACATGTGGGAAGCTCGCTTGGACTCAAGAGCATTATCCCTGTGATACTGGCTGCATGACAACTGGTCATCTAATCCTGGCTTCTCTTCTATGTTGGCTGCTTCACAAGATACCAAGAAAACCCAAAAAGCACACAGTTCTGAGGTAACACAACTCTCTCCCTCCATTATCTCAGGCAACCCTGGCACTGACAACATGGGTTTTGTATTCTTCTTCAAACATAGTAACTAGTAGAATGTCTGATCATAACAATGTCATATCCAGCAGATATCTAATGTATTCGAAACATGCCTTTAGCTTTATGATAGCCATAGACAATTTTTTTGTATAGAGAAAAGAAATTTCAATTTCAAAGCAAGGCCACGTTCAGTATTATTTTACCAGCATCAGATGCAACTATTCAAATTGTGAAAAAGAACAAAAAGGTAACCCACGCTAACTGCTAAAATCCGCAAAGGCAAATTACTGCAGTCACACCCAAGCTACTGTGACAATAAAGGCGTCATGCGGAGAAAAGGAAAACCTTTCTCTCCATAGTACAGACACACACTAACAAAGCAAGCAGAATATATTTTGGCTATCTGAAGTATCTCCAATACATTCCTGCGGGGTAAAAATATTGTTATTTACAATGGAGAAGTGAACAAAACCAGACAGAACAAGACCTCCATCAGACATTGAGGGTGTCTGTACTAAAACTGTTATTATGATTTTCGACCCTTCGTCTTTTCCTGGTGTGCCCAGACAACTTACACCTCATTTCCAAAAAAGAACTTGTATGATTTTATACAAAAAATGTGTTTAGCTCCACTACATAAGACAGTTGCTGGCAGAAATAAAATAAAAGAATCTGTCCCACATGTTCTGCTATACTTTATGGAGGTTTCCAAGTTATTCTGGGGGAGCAAGTACTACCTTCAGCAGCAGTCCAGTTAGATGAACTAGGTTTTTTTTCTAACTTTAATGTTTTTGTTGTTTTCCTGAGGAAGCTATACTCACCTGATCCTTGACCAATGACATAGATGGTCTCCCCACATCCCTCATCAATTCTCTCTGACATCTGCCGGAGCAAACTGTCATACTGCTCTGAAGTTGGACTCACCATCACCAGCTGGAAAAAAGATTAAATATCCATTTGCAGATGTCAAGCAAACAATTTCAAAACCAGCTTCTGTTATAAGGACAATCAATCCATGTGCTTTACTGAAAGAGAAGGGCTCTTTTTCAAGGACCGCTTTCTGGTGATTTGGTTTTGTTTTGGTTTTGTTTTGGTGGTTTTTTTTTGTTTGTTTTTTTAATTATGATTATTTAAAACAGCTTCACTGACAGCTATTTCCTTGTGACACTGCACAAGGTTATTTGTCTGAGCTCAGAGTTCATTTATGTTGGAAGATATACTTCAAAGCAAATAAGAATACCAAGCATTGCATTTTGAAGTAACCAATGTTTAAAAGCCACATTTAAGTGAACACCCCACTTCTACTTCTGTGTAATACATGTTTCCATGCAACGAAAACAGAAAGGGGAGGAGATATTTTCTCCAAAGAAGTTCCTTAGCTGGGCACTGCATGGTCTCTGCTGCACAGAGTGCTGCTGTTCCCTCAAAGCGTGACGGGACAGCCAGAGGAAGGCGGCCAGACCTCACTGCAGAGCACACCTAGCCATCAAAACCTAGAGCATCTCATAAGTCTTTCACATACTTGATCTCCCCCTTCTGAGGGGGCAGAGGGGAAGGAGAGAACACGAATAAGCGTTATTTTCAAACTCCTAAGAAAACTTTAGGTACTTTACGCTACAGGGCTGAGAGGCAGACATACAAAGCAGTTTGTACGAGCATATTTGGACACTTCACCAGTGGAGAGCTGCAGTTTTGCAAGCCAGCATCTGTGTTACCAACAAGCTTTGACTGCAGTTATTGCAACAACCACAACTTCCTTTGCCCTTCCCTGCAGAGGCATCAAGAGAAGGAAGAAGTGGATAGAAACACAGTGGAAAATGAGGACAACAAGACAGTGCTTCAGGAAGGATTTTTCTGAAAACAGAACGGTGTAGCACCATTCTGGAAAAAAAACTGTGTCGTCCATACAGTACAGAGAGGACACTCGCACAGAACGGCCACAATGATGGCGTGGCAGTGGCAGACCAAGGAGACCTTCATCGCCCATTGAGGACCAACTGGCCACCAGCTCTCTGGCTGCCTCCATGGTTACCAATCTGTTGGCGGCCGAGCACCCTGGTACAGTGGCTCAAGAGCTGTTGCAACTGAGATATGCGTTTCTGTTAAAAAGGCACTTTTAGTAAGAGTTGTAAAGGCTATCACCTGCTGATAGCCCTATGGGTAGGCGCACCTGTGCCACACTACAACACTCAATGAAATCCACACTTCCACTAGTTGTCCTTACATACACATTTCAAAATCATGCCCAGAAAGATGTACGTCTCTTCACGATGCACTAAGGCCAGTCTGAAATCTGTGCTAGATTTGCCTGAAACATATGGTTTACAGCAGTTCACAACGCTTACGTCTTCAAGCCTGCCCAACGTTCTCTACTAACACAGCCTGACTTGCTAGCACAGCTAACACAATGCATATTCAAGGAGGAACTACCTTTACCACCTACTACTACTACATAGTTGATGAAGACCTTTATTAGAAATCTAGAGTGTAAGGGAACCGAAAAACGCCACAAATAACACTTAAGCAGCTTTCAAAACTACAGCGATGCATGCATCTGGAAAACTGAAGCACAGACAGCAAGTGCTGGTTAAGAAGGTTTAAGGCAGCCAAAGCAACGCTTTCCTCAAACATTAAGGGTCACACAGAGCACGTACGTGTCTGCGAGGGCCAGACAGCTACGAGAGAGACAATCACCTTCATGTGCCTACTTCAGATGCGTGCCCTACCTAAGGCTTTGAACTACCTGGCATAGTCTGCAAAGGGTAGCAAAGCACTCTGATCTGGAAGGCCACACAGTCTTTCTATTTTGTGCTACAAGGGATTGAGTTTTGCCTTTATTAGTTGTTCTTTTGGTTTTGTGTTCTTCTCAAAGGAGACCACTGGATGTAAATGTATTGAGAGGGAAATCAGCAACTGTTCAGAGGCTTCATCAGGACAGGAATGGAAGGCTGTGTGTTGACGTGTAGGGTTTGTTTTGCCCAACGAACACTTTCAGGAATTCCTGGAAGCACAGCAGACAGGCTCACTGTTTAGGCTAGTGAACCAGCACAGGTCAGGGACTCAGGAAGATCTCTTAAACACAGTTACACTTGTAAAGAACAATAAAATAACAGGGGCCACCAGTGTAGAGGCACACTGACTTCAGTTTCTTCGAGTCTCATCACCAGCTTCATTTTCCTACGAGTTCAAATGCTTCAGCAGTGTGAGTGGGCAGGGGACATTTCAGCTGAGCAGCTCGCTGCAGCCTTTCTTCATGGTGCCAGGCAGGGCTGGAGCCTCAATCAGCATGGTACCCACACACATCAGCTCAAAACAGTGTTCCCCCACCCTGCTGCTTTTGCTGCCATGCAAAGGTGCCGCTGAAGGGTGTTCCAGTGGTGGACTGCCTCCAAAGCCTACCCTGGGGCCGATGAAGCTTACAGCTGATATGATACAGCGCGACGTCAAGAGAAGGATGCGTAGAACAAATAGCAGCTTTCATGGATCACACCTTCCAGTGCCGTTCAGTATTTCTAACGGCTGCTTCTGCAGCCCGCAGCCCCCAGCCAGTTCTGCAGTTTCCTAGATCACTGCAAGACTTTACTTGCTGTTTTGAAGATCTCCTTAGCTAGCTTCCTGGACAGAGGAAGCCTGTTCTTTGCCATCTCCTTGGTCAGAGAGAGGCCCTCCATCTCAGCCTCTCTGCTTTTTTTGCTTTTCACCTTTAAGCAATCCCCTCCATGCTTGCACTACATATTCGTGTTTTTCAGAGGTTTTCACAAAGTCAAAAATTTTCACTTTTGTTCTTTCCACTTTGCCAGGCATTGAGCAGTTAACAGTAGGAGCCATGTGGATCTAGCAACCTCAGATTTCCTATAGGGCAAAAAAGTAACAACCAGTTATTGTTTTATTCTCATGACAGCAGAAAGAAATATATCTCACAAGTTTGAGATACCATGTCTAAAGTCCCTTCCCAACCTCTGTGAAGAGGTGGCTTTTCCCACCTTTCCTCTGATCAGTTTTGGGATTAACATACGCCGGAGGTGGGTAATAGCTACAGCTCTCTGAGCTTACTCTAGGGGGACAAGTGGGACTGTGCCATTCTGCACTGCCCAACAGCAAGCAAGAGGCCATAGTATTAATTAATTTATATCTATTAACTGTAATTAACTATAAATCAAGACACCAGTGAGACTGAGCTAAGGGTATATCAGCACTACTACAGGCAGTCCTTACAAAAGAAGCACGCCATATCCACGAGGCGGACAAACTATAAAGATTAAGGGCAAACCAAATACTATGCGGTACGTAGTGCTGCTCTTTATTGGAATAACACAGCCTGACATTTTGCACAGCTGGAAGGCCACCACCAGCCATTGGCAAGCCAGGGGAAAGGCATCTTCTGTAATGTCATATTTTGCTTTCTATTTCCTGTGGACATACATAGTTCAAGTGCTATTAATGTTCTATTGTCAATGTAGATCTAATATAAGTATCAGCTTCACTAATAGCCTTGTGTGATATGGTTTTGACCTGAAAGATGATTACTACTGCAGTGTGTTAGTACTGAAGGGAAAACAAACACCCATTAAGATCGACACGATAATGAATTTGTGCTGAGGAATGGAACTGTTTGCTTGACCAGCTGACAAGGCGCACTTGGTAACAGAATCCCAAAGTGTTCCTCTCTCCAAAGAGCACACTTTGCAATGAATGCAGTGGGAGAGGACTGGGAGAAAAGTACGTAACACAGTGAGGGGACAGGTCAGACCAGGACAGAAGAAGCAACTTACAAACAAACTGACTGCAGTGGGAATTGCCATTTTAAGCAGGAATTGGAGGGCAGCAATTCAACTGGGAAGACAGAAAAGACAGGGGGATCGGGGAGGGGGGCAGGATAGCTACTGCCTTCTCACCATATGGGATTGCTGTTTCGAGCACATAGCAGGAGACTAACTTGGAGAGATGGGGCAGAGCTCATAGTCTTAGCTCTCATCCAAGATGGGGATGAATGAAAAGTCTAGGGAAAAGACAGCAGGTGTACACTGCTGTATAGAAAAGTAACTTGTAATAAAGGTCAAAAAAATGCTTACCTATCGCCTCCATAGTGCCTGCAGCATTCTAGGAATGGAAGACAGGCTGACAACACAAACAGAGGTTGTGGAAGAAAAGCATTCTTCTCTCATTGTCGGAGTTTTGGTCAGGTTCCTGGCTGTCAAGAATCAGTGACACAGCTCTTGGCGTCCTCCTGGGCCCTCTTCCACATCAGCCACGTCCAAGACAAAGCACAGATCAATATTGGCATCCTATATCAAAATCTTGTCCAGCTCATTCAGGCACGAACAGGTGGCTCAATAGATACTGCAGGCTTGATTTCTGTTCTTTACTATCTCATAAGACATCTTCATAACATTTGTTTTAATACAGCGCCACATTGTAAAATATCCGGTCATCCCCTCAAAAACAAACGTTTACACATCCACACACCACAATTCCTATCTCTCCATTTCTCCACAGAGAGCAAGAAAATCCAGGACTTTGGAACAACTCCAGCTGGAAGCATGAAGAGGACGGATGGCAGAAAAACAGGAGGAAACACCAGCTATGCTGGCTTCTGGATGACATAATTATAAGTGGACCAAACCAAGTTTTCAGGAGACTTTAGAGTGGGAGATGGCATCACAATACGTCAAACCCTTGGCAGCAAAAGGTACGCAGAGATCAGCCAACCGGGAAAAAATAGAAGACAGTGTGGAAAAACAGCTAACATAGACTGTGGCGGGCTCTGGCACGCACGTATTACTACAATGTACCTCCCTGCAAGATGGAAGTGAGAACGGATTCTGACAGAAATAAGACCACCACACCGTTTTGTCACTTGGATCCTAGAAAGGAACCGCACGAGGTGAACAAACCTTTTTGTGTTGGCTTAACCCGGTTTGCAAGACCAAGGCACCCTTGTCGCTGAGCAAAAGTTACGAGCTCCAACCTGCTTTTAAGATCGCGAAGAAAGCCCCAGGAACTAGTACGACTGGCAGCAGAGATAACTGCAGAGAACCAGCGCAGGGGAGGAACGTCAGCGAGACGTTAAAGCGGCTGTCGGCTTCAAGCCCGGCGCTCGCTGAGAGGCACCCCCCGCCGCGGGCGCTCCCGCGGGAAGCAGCCTCCGCTCCCGGCCGGGGCACAGCTCTCCGTAGCCCAGCTTCGCCGCGCCCGGCCGGGTGATGTTGGGGCGAGGGGGAAGCTCCAGCTTCCCAGCTCCAGCCGGCGGGGAAGCCCCGGGGTGACACCCCCAGCCCGGCGGAGGCTGGCGAGCCCCCCCAGCCCCTCGCTCTCCTGAGGGGAGGGGAGCGGCCAAGTGAACGGGGGGGGGAGCACG